TTAATAATGATTTATTAATTATTTTTAATGGTGGTCATATCTTAAAGTTTGTTTTCAAACTTATTTTGACCACCATCCACATACTTTTTTTTCCATATGAATTATTACAGTACTTCTAATTTATGTACAGCATATGTGGAGAAATATTAATAAACAATAAACAAAACTTCCACTTTATATTTCAATTAATGTTAGAAAATTCCTAGATCAACTTATTTTATTCTTAATGTGTATCTTTGCTCACTCCACATTAACAGGTATTTTTTTAACGAAATACATGTGAAATGCCCAAATATGATGGGACATCATCAGGTGTGGACATATCCTTGTGTAATATGTTTGTGGTTTAAATCAAATTCTTTTATTGCATGAATTTTTTTATCTTTATATATTTCATTATATTTTGTAAAAGGACCACAATGGAAATAATTTTAAATTGTTTTTAAAACTTTTTGTCTTATCCTTGTTATATCCAATTTATCTTGTTTGTGTTTCACTTGTCTTTCTGTTTTCTAAGGCAAACTTAAAAACTTTTTTTGCATTTTTTGTTTCGAAATAAGTTGAATCAAATCAAAAATTAAATTAAAGTAAATGTTGACTTTATTAATATTTTATCAAGAATGTAAAATTTGTCTCCTTCCAGCTCTCCACTCTTGTATTAGGACTACCAGTACTGTAATTTATTTTAGACCTAAACTTTAAACTAAAGTGCCTGACATTTTAATATGGTATCAGACATGGTCCACATATTCTGAGCATGATTTTGCCAAATTTTTGAGTCCCAAGTTGAGTCTCATAGGAAATTAGGGCAAAATGAAACCAATCATAGTACTGATAATAGCATCATTTACAAGGTCTTTTGCGTACACATTTATTAATCAAAATATAAACCTGTCGAAAAAATAATAATATTATGGAACCAAAGCAGTATCAAAGGACAGGTACTCGAATATTAATAACAACTATATTCACTAAAAATATAAATCACTTCTTGAAAGTTTATTGAGTTACTTAATACAACATGACGATTACTTACTAACAGTACTTTTTATCTTCTATTTAATTTTTCCCCTCAAATCACTATCATTATTACTTTAATAACTATTATTTTTTTTTAATGTAGAAAAAAACAACAATAAAGTTTAGCATGCACCTTTCATCAATTATTATTAATATTAATTATAAATAAATAAATAATTAATATGCATTATATTACTATTATTACTAGTGATAAATCATCGGTTTTCACATTTAATAATGTAAGCATACTGGTTTTACAAAATGAAATTGTTCAATATTATTATTAATGTTCTATGACTTTTATTATAATTACAGCTACATTCTACAACATAGCAAGTTGTTTTAAAATTGTAAATATCTATGAAAATATAGAACCCCACACAAAAATGGAACAAAATATGCTACATAAATGTTCATTAACACTTGTCACTTCAAGTTTCTGGATTAGTTATAGTTTGACAAGGTTAGCACAATTTCCTGACATGGGGACAAAACCGTTAAATTTATCCAAATTTGCAACCCTTACTCAATAGAGGTGTCTAGAAAGTGAGCAAATATGTAAATTAATCCACTAGGGGTGAAATATCAGGTAGCATGTGTTCACAGGAAAAGCAGCAGGTTAAAAAAAAGTGCGTTTTCACACAATGTAAATTAGTGGATGAATTGAGAGTAGGAATAATGTTACGCTTAAGCATCACGTGAGCATTCACTAATAACTGACCACCTGTGTTTGACACATTTCACTCTTATCTGCCAGAAATCAATCTTTAAAATTAATAAGATTCTGTAAAAGTCATGTCCATACAAACTGGCCTACTTCAAAGTAGACTGTGATTTGTACATAAAAAAAAAAAATTCACTTCTTTTTATTCATTTATTTATTCAGGTACAAAAAATACATTTACAACGAGTAGCTGTACAGCTGAAATTGTTGCGATTTTCACCGATTTCCCTTTTCTTTTCTAATGATAAATTAAAATTACTATATTGTATGTGTTCAACAGGTGAAAAAAATTAATATAATGAATTGCTCATTTAATAGGATCAAATAAATGACCAACTTACCAAAAGCCAATTAAGCTTTTGCTAAATAACAGATTATTTACTATGAATCCTTGTAGTGATTTATCAACCAATATTATACACAATTGGCAACCTCTGATCTGTCAGTGGTTACATGACTTGCATTGATATAAAATGCAGGGCACCCTCACGTAACCATAGCAGAAGAAATGTGGCTTTAAAACAACATAGATTTTAGGAGAAAAGGTTAAATTTTCATCAAAAACAAAAATAGACAAATGAAAAATGTTATGCTTAAAATTGTTAAAATTAAAGTTATTTAAAAAAAATAATAGATGAAAAACATGTATGCCTATTGACTATTAATATTATTATTATTACTTACAGGATTTAATTACTGCTTTTCCACAAAAAACATTTAGAAAGACAAAAATACTGAACATACCAGATCACTGAAGAAGACCGCATCGATCACAACATCTTTACTGGTAGGCAGTGGCAACTTTGTGTCTCCTGCAGATATATGGGACCACTTTCCTTGTAAGTTTTGATCTTTGGAGTGGAACAGCGACGCCTTGTTTTTCATCTCCCATAGGTAAAGATTTGAGTTGCCAACTACGAGTAGAATCTGGCAAGCATCATCGGAGACAAACAGGCTTGGTTTGGTGGTTGCAGCTGATACAAAAAAATACAAATCAGTCAAATATCTCTGCATGTCTACAGATCACTAAAGATGAATAAAAGTTTGAAGCTACCACAATAATTGATGCATTGGTGTTCAAACTACCAGATACCCACTGATATTTTGGGGTTCTTAGAGCCACCTCTATGTGCTTTTTTTAAATTTTGTTTTTTAAATTTTAATTTATTTATGCACACAATACATGCACCAAGAATTGTTAATAGTGAATATATCACTTTCCTACTTGTAGGTGACAATCCCTTTTACAAGACAAACATACACAAGTGACGATGCTTTACACAAGGTCAATCTCAATACGAGGATACAAGAGAAATCCACAGCAAGGGTTCAAGCTTTTGATTTTTATCATTTTTACATTTTTTTCTTTATTATTTACAAGGCAAAGTTACTTCGCCTCTTCTGGAAGACACTGACTGTTACAAGGAGAATGCAATGGTATGAGCAGACATCTTCAACAAAACACTTGCTATCCTTGAATATGGAGGTAATTAAATACAACTATAAATACAAAATGAAACAAAAGGAATGATTGATTAAATTATATATAATATATAATATGCAACACACATTGCAAGGAAACTGATATCTCACATAATGCACAACAAAAGAACTAATTGACTACCCCTAAAAGACACTACACTGGAATCATCCCAAATTGACTCTTAGTTCCTGACTTCTATCTTTGATAACTTTCTTTCCCGTTTCTGTTCTCACTTCTCGTCTTTATGAGTAAAAAGAAAGTACTATTGGTACAAGTTTGCTTGTGCAAGCATGATGCTTACACCATACATCGGTGTCAATAATGACAACCATCCTCTCCTATCTTCCCTATGGAAATAACATGGGAAATTCTAGCCTTGAGAATCATTTTACCTAAACATAATTATAAATAAATTAATATGTTTCCTTCTGTTTGATGTATACTCTATATCTGTCAATGAGGGGAACAAAAAACAAAATCACTGGGAGACTCTACATACTGATATTTTTCTACCAAATTTTATTAATACGTAAACAAAGGAACTACCAGGATATGAAGATCATATTTTGGAAAGAAAAAAGACACAAGAAACATTCATGATAAAGCTAGTAAATGACATTGAACATTAGTGTTCAAACAGGAAATATTTTGACAGGGCATAATTTCATTGTGCAAAACAGGGCCTAGGTAACGTGTGGACCAGGGCAAGATGGTCTGTGTGTCATATCGAAACCTAGGGTAACATGGTCTAGGTGTCTGCTATAAGTCCTAAGTGAGTATTAATACAAGCTGGATTGTGGGCAGACAAAGTGAGTGAAAATTGAAAGCATTCCAGGAGGCCAGTAACAAGGGCTAACTAATTACTAAACTGATTGAAAGACTTCCTAAGTAATTGTTGCATAGTTTCAGAAGGTTCTGTTTCTTGTCATATAAAGGCAAGAAAATAGTGCTAGAATTATTAAGCATGTACAGGCACATATGCGATGAAAGACAATATGTATAATAATCCATTTTTGGTTACATTCTCTCAAAATCCAGGTATTGTGAAACAGAAAAATGGACGATATGTGGGGAAACACTTTTTATAAAGCAGTGACTGAAAATTAATGATTAACTAGATTATGATTGAATCCAAATTACACAAAATTCCTCGTGTCTTACAACAAATTCAATATGAAGAACAAAAACAACAGCAAAAACAGACAGAATGTGACAAGCACAAGACAGGATTCTAGCAGCTTATGGAATGGTGGACCCAGAGGACTGAGAATGTGTTAAAAATCTGACTACTGATGTACAATCTGTTTACGACATATTCTTCAAGAGAAATGAACATTGAACTTGATATATTACATTGGAACAGATGAAATTATTTACCAATCTCATTTTAACAACATTGATAATAATTATTTAATATTATTAATTATCTATTTATTTTATTTATTATAACAAAATATGATAATACCCAGGCATTAGTATGGGCGATTGATATCGGGCAATTATTGGAAGGAAGGTGCCAATAATAAAAACCAAATAATGAAACTATAACAAAATACTGGCATTTGCATAAGGTATTGGATGATCAAAATTGTGTTAAGAAACATACTACATGGTATTTACACAAATAAAAACTAGACTTAACATTAGTTTTTTTTTTTGGTGTACTTGTTTAATCCATGTTGAATGTACCTATTGTTTAACTTCAATTTCATTCATTTCTGTGTTGATGAAAATTTATTTCGTATTATAAATGCATACAAATAAATACAATTTAATTTGCCTGATTGCAACAGAAAAAATAATTTAGTTTTTAAATGCTCATATGATTTGAGGAAACAGTTAATTATTGTGACTGCCTTTTATGTAAGCAAGCACCAACAACCAACCAGCACACTACCAGCAACACTTGTTGACATTTTACTGATTTACTGTCATTTCTTGGATTAGATGGCAAAATCATTGAGTAGCTTAGGATTCAAAAAAGTGACAGATTTTTGGATTATGCCACAACCTGTGCTGACTAATACATGCATACATCTAGTTTTCCGCTCTTCTTTAAGTCTTCTTAATATTTCCCCTTTTTTGATGCTCTGTGCTTTCCTGTTTTGCACTATATTCATCAATATGTTCTCCTTCTTAAAGATTTTTGTAATGTAAATTCTGTAAATCAGTAAAAAATATATCTATGTATAGTTGGAAAATTAAATCTTCTCTAATACTTTTAAATGAGCATTTCAATACCTTGATGAATTTCTGGGCTTTAATGATATCATCTTTAATTGCAGCTTAAAACTTTGTTGACCTGTAGTATCCTGTACACTACAGGTTACTTCTAAATTATGGGAAGCATGATAAAGTAAGTAGCCAGTAAAAAGCATGTGCTTAAATCTGTCTCATTGGAAGTTCATATCTTTGATAATGAACATTTCAATAATTTGACAAATTTCTGGGGGCTTTCCTGATTTCATCTTTAACCTGCAGCTTACAATTCTGTTGACCTGTGGTATCCTGTACAGTACAGGTTACTTTTAAGTTATGCGAAGCATGATAAAGTTAAGTGGCCAGTAAAAAGCATGTGCTTCCGATGCTTTATGCCTACCAAACTATAGATTAACTTCCTACTTAAAAGTCTTCTGTCTAATGCAATACAGCTAAATATTTTAATACACAATATCCTTAAAATAAATTTACTCAAAAAAAAAAGCTTTGACTTGAATCAATTGATAACATAATGAGCACAGAGGAGCAAGTTTCATAATATGAGATAAACTCTGCTTTCAGAACCAACTGTAAGTGGCTTTAAAGATCTACATTTCTATGGCAATTATTTAATTTTTGTTTTAATTCCTCTATTTATTATCCTTAACAGGGCACAGACTCAGGTTTTTGTACATGCAGTATAATTAACAATTTGCAAACTGAAACTGTATGCAGGTCTACAAACACACTATCCAATACTAAAATGTTCTATTTATGATCAGGATGTGTTCAAATTTATTTATATATTTATTTATTCAGTATAAAAAGACTCAAAATACAATTCAAGATTGAAATGAAGAGCTTACATAAAATCAATGAAGAAAAATACAGAAATATAAAACCAGCAATAAACATTTGAGAAAAATTTCAAATTACAAAAAAAATTTAATTATTTATTATTTACAATTAATATTAAAATATCAATCAGCATAAATTGATTAATTAAATCAATTAATTAGAATTTTAAGTTATTAATATATACAAATTTCATTAAATAACAGTTAACAGTCATAGCCCTATTCGAACAATTACATTACACATTAAAAATTCATTAAACAAAATAAAACCAGTTCAATTCAGGAAGTACATTGCCAATTATCCAAATTAATCTTTATTTAACAGTCCAATAACACTTGGAATAGTTGACTTGGCAAATCTTTTTGTTCGACAGCGTGGTACAAAATACCGATTAACCTTTCAAAGTGATCTTATTGGTTCTTCTCTTACTGGGATCCATTCCTTAAAGCGTTCTGATGATAGCAGATCAAATGTTAAACTGCACATTAATTTTATGATGAATTTAATTAATGAATAATTATATATAGTGCTGAGAGCTGCAAATTTCTAATGTAAACTTCACTTGCTTATAGCTTTGTTTCCCACTGTGTCCTTAGAATAGAATAGAATAGAATAGAAATCTTTCTTTATTCTGGATACTCAGTCAGTATTGTTACACTGTTCTTCCCTGAGGTCCAGGGTATTATCTTAAACTACATTATATAACAAAATAAAATTAAAAGAAAAATTCAAGACTAAAGGGTTTTTCAATTTATTTCTTGTATTTATGCTATGGTAAGTATCAATTAATTTGTAAAAATTAGTTAAATATTCAGGAACAGTGCC